GTTTATGTTTTTGACATTCACAGTCCAACAAGGAAGATTCTTTGGCTGGGTTAACCCCTGGCTGTATACTGTACCACTGCTAGGTCACCAAAGAGCCAGCTACTATATAAGGCAAGACTTGCAAAGAGCAAGACTGCGCTTATGATCCGTAAACCATGTGTATGGTATACATATCATACAAATCATGCGTGCGGGGCCAATCCTCATGATCAGTGCAAAGTCTGTGTGTTCAGGCATGGCTGTAGTGAAATGACTGTTGTTGAGGAAGCGTTGAGGTGGCATACCCCAGGACCCGAGTTACACTGACAAAAATTCAAGAGCTTCACCACTTAATCTTATGCCTTTGCTTTATTGATGGGTTTTATGTTAAAATCTGATGTTATGGTACTCTGCAAGGGAAAGAGGCCCACATTTGCTTCAGAGCTGACATGTTACAGTCTCCAACACTACTTAAAATAAACATACAGAGGGTATCAGCTGAACAAGGTACACTCTTAAAAAAAGTGCTCAGGAATTGTCAAGATAAAATAGTATTGAGATTTTCTCATTAGAGAATACCGAATGTATCCTGGAAATTCATTCCACAGCACAGAGCTGATCTTATGCTTTTGTAACTGTAATTGACACATCAACAAAAATATTATTGTGAGTCATGCTAGGCCTATAAAGGCTGTTTACACAGTTTGCCTTCTGTTCACTCTTGGGAAAAAAATATTGCCTAAATAATTTTAATGAAATCTAATGTATAATGCTGCCAAAGCCATTTAAGTCTTAATTCAAATGCATGAAAAAAACATTGTTTAATCATTTAGAGATTTTTCATAATCTGCATGCATGATTCCTATTTATCATATAGATCCAATGCTGTGTTTGGAAGAAACATTCAATATACTGAGATTTTAAAAGATTTTTGCACACTGCTCTTGTACAACACCAACACTTTTGTACAGGAGACCAGGAAAAGTAACACTGTTGGACCAGGAGTCAAGGAAGAGTACGAGAAATGTCGGACAGAAGTCAAGGAAGAGTACCAACAGTGTTGGATAAAAGTCAAGAAAGAAAACCAACACTGTTAAACACTAGGCGAGGAAGTGTACCAACGCTGTTTAGTGGGAGTCAATGAGTACCAACAGTGTTGTGGCAGGAGTCAAGGAAGAGAACCAACACTGTTAAGGAGGAAAACTAATGTTCTTGGACAGGAGTCAGAGAAGAGAACCAACTTTTCAGACAAGAGTCAAAGAACACTGTTGGACGGGAGTCAAGGAAGAGAACAATGACTGCTGGACACTTGTCAAGAAAGAGTATCAACACTGATGGACAGGATTGGAGGAATAGTATCAACACTGTTGTGCTTTAGTCCAGCTGCTAGTTTTTCGTAGTACGAAATCTCATTGTGATATTCATAGTGAGAAAATGACACTCGTGCAGGAGAGGACAATCGTTCATTTCAGCTAAATCTTAAAGAAATATCTAGTGGCCTGGTTGGTACAAGTGGGGTAAAATACAAGAAAACTAAGAAGTATGCAAGAAGTAAAAATGTCTATCACAATATTTTTTTTTATTTTTGTAACATTTTATCACTTTCTCGTCTTTAACTATTAGTGCTTTTTTTATATATTGCACTGACGTAATTGTGGAATACAGCTGATCTCAGAGAGAAAACTAAGTTAACTACTCCACAGCTGGCAATCTGGCAAATTTCACAAGTAAAAGCTGTTGTCATTAATTTTGGTGCAGAAGTATAAGGGAGGAGCTGGATCTGGAGTGTTAAAACTGATTTAGGCCACTAGAGGGTAGCGTAGGGACACTCCAAACGGGGACCAAGAACTGAATCAGGTCCTGCATTTTGCTAAATGTTATTTGAGAAATCGGCTTCAGCTGTTTGCAAGCCAGTTTCTCTATAAAAATGTCAAATGAACAACAGGGGTTGTCTAGTCTGGTTTTAGAGAACAGATTATTACCTGAGGTAACATTTATAAAACAGCTGGTGCTGTGTCCAGAGTGCTGCATTTGCACCTTCAGGAGACATCCCTGACTAAACAGCATCGGCCCGTTAGCTTTAGTTTCAGATTACCAGGGAAAAAGGAAAGGCTGGGACATTTATAGAACTTCCCCATACGAAACATACACCTCGCTGCCACCTGCTCTTGAGTGTGTAGGGCTGCACAAACAAGCAAAAGCATTAGAACGTCAGAGTTAAAATTACTTGAGCAGAGTACACTTTCTTCTGTGTCTTCATTTCTGTTTAGTCAGGATGTCCGCATTCATTTTTTTTTCAGAAAATGTTTTTTTGAAAGGTCTCCACAAGTAAAATCTATCCTACCAGCATTAAAACAAAAATCTAGTGTTTTGTCATGTTTAATATGTTTCTGCCGAACATGCAGATAGTTGGCTTGGCGAGTTTTGCATGATGTTTAATGTGTGATTCAGGTCACAGATTTCCTTAAAAAAATAATTACTCCTGTCATCAAATTCATACTTTCATACCGCACATGCAGAAGTTACATCTTGTCAGTCATATTGAAACTAATATGCTAGTAATGATTTGTTTTCCAGTTAATTTTTAAGCAGAGTAAATCCTGCTGAAATAGACTTGTTTGTGAAAACGTGAGCTAGTGGCAGGGCAGGGACCATGCATGTGACATACAGTAATATAAAATAGATACATTAACGGCTGTTTTTATGTCCAAATCCTATAATTGGAGACTCCAATCCAAGGGAAAGTTTCCAGATCACTAACAGGACCAATAAGTTTAAGTATTACTTGAGCAAATTATGACTTTCTTGTGAGTCATAATTTCTTGGGTTATTTACTCTTTGGGTTATTTACTTTTTGCTTATGTTGACTAAACTACTACCACCACAGGACATTGTGACAGAAAAGGGGACCTTACAATGAGTAATTTAATGCAGTAATACATTTATTCTCAAATTATTTTAGATATATGATTAGTTATTTCTACAGTTCCAGACAGAGGTAGACAGGCATCTTACAATGAAGTACCTTCAGTGTTGGGATGGGAGTTAGTTCTTTGTCTAGTCTCAGTGGTACAGCGGAAAACCATTGATAACCATTTAGCTCATTCTATAATTCAGAATTATCACCATGTCACTGATCACAATTAGCCATGAAGTAGTAACACGATGCTGTCTGCTGTAGCGCTGTAATTGGCCAAATATTATTATATTGTGTGCATGTATAATGGAATAATATAAATACCCATATTTGATTAGATGGAAACACAGAGAGTATCTTTGTGCTGTTCCATAAGAACATATGAAAGTTACAAATGAGAAGAGGCTATTTGGCCCATGTAGTCAATTCCACCCTGTTGGAATCCATAGGGAAGAGTCAGAATGTGTATCTATAACCCAGGACATGTCCTGAGCATTGCAGGTGTTGTATAGACTTGAGTCCATAGACTTGTTCTCTACACTGAAGCAACCCCTCAACTTACAGAGGTGCCTAAGGGCTGGTAGAGCTGCTTCAATCTTCTGCTCGCTGCTGGTTCTCCTGGCAGTACCACAGCATGAGAACTGTCCAACCACTGTGACAACCGCACATTTCAGACAAGATGTAGCAGGAAGAAATGACTGTTTTTTAACAATGAGCAAATGCAAATAAAGTTGTCAGCTGTCTCTTGAGGGGCTCTAAGCCATTAGCCTAGTGCATCAGCCAATGACCCTTCTATTCCTGATTCCTCTGTACATTGGCTGTTTCCAAACTTTAGACTTTGGATGAAAATATCTAAGTAAGCATATAATCATTGGTGAGACCAAAACAACTTTAATAAATGTTAAAGTACACCCTTTATGATTGACCAGTTTAGAACAGTACTGGGATACCTACAGAGCATGGACCATCTGATCCCTAAGACCTTAAAAAGAGAGGAACATTCAGGGCCTGTCTGAGGTTTATAATTTTAAAAAGGCAAATGTTCCACTGAGTCCTCTCTCAGGCACATGTGGTATTGATCACGTAAATACGCACAGAAAAGTGACTGAAATATTACTTATAATTATCCAAATCTAATTACATCATTATTCCCAGGATAAACTATATAGTGTCAAGAAACAAGCCTGTTCAATTAATAGCTTCGTGGACTTTACCAGCTACTGTGTGGTAGATCACCTTTCTTGTGTGATTCACGACACGTTCTTCTTTCTGACTCTTGTGTTCCTTCAAACCGGAGTGACGCAGTGACTCTGTCTTGGCAGCCTCACTCAACTCTTCCTGGAACATGCAGATCTCCGTCACTCTGCACAGCTCTCAGATGGGCAGAATCTCTGCAGTAAACCAAATCCCGCTCTCTCTGTTTGAGAGATTTCAGACAGCCTAGTTTTTATGCATCATTGTTGTACGAGTCCTATCTCTTCCCTTTGTGGCTAGTTTTGTATTTCATTCATGCAGGGAGAAATTCTGGCTACATGTTGAGCAAACACCTTTTTCTTCAATCTCCTGAACACAAGCATGAAGCCCCCTGCCCCCTCCTTTTCAAATAAACCTCTGTTCTATTTCCTTTCAATGTGTACTAGGACAAATCGAGAAAATGCATGTCCTTTTATTTTTTTTATCTGATTACATCTATTTGGAATTCATGCATGATTTGTCTCAAATGAGTTGATGGCCTGTATTTGAAATAAAAAAGCTGCATATTTACCTGTAAATGACAAAAATGAACAACATTAACAAAGGAATTCACAACAAAGCAGGATAGTGATCAATTACATAAGACCTAATGAAAGATTTTTTAAATAATTAATCCTTGCCATTGCAATTTCTCAAAATCCCATTTCGTACAAGTTAGTGATTGTCAATGAAATGCATAAGCACCCAATGGCAGGACGTGATAGCGTTTGCCAGCTCCAACCCTGACGTGCGAGATACAGCTGTGCTTCACGCGAAGCAGGAGGCTGTACTCCTGTTGAAACTGGTGCTTGAGTGTGTCTTGACTGCAGCTCAGTGTGCTCTTCTCCCTCCCCCCTCCCCCCCGCTGCAGGACGACAAGGAGATCGATCTGGAGCACCTGCACCGGCGAGTGAACAGCCTCTGCACGGAGGACGAGAGCCCCCACAAGCAGTTCTCCACCTCCTCGATCGACCTGACGCCCCTGGACATCGACTCACTGCCCACGCGTCAGGCGCTGGAGCAGATCAGTGACTTCCGCAACACGCACATCACCACCACCACCTTCATCCCGGAGCAGATCCAGACTCTGAGCCGCAGCCTGTCGGCCAAGGCCGCAGCCGGCTTCGCCTTCGGGGGCGTGCAGGACCACCGAACTGGGCCCTTCAGGCAAAGGGCCCCAAACGGGGGGTTCTTCAGGAGCCCCATCAAGACAATGTCCACTATCCCATACCAACAGACGCCCTCTCCCGGGTACAGCTTCGGCAACGACCCTGATCGAGGAACCTCCATATAATTCACTGGAGAGCAAAAACAAATTCTCTCTCTATATATATAGCTTTTCTTTCTTTTCGGTTTGTTTTCTTTTGCATTGAGGGAAGAGGTGGGTATTTGTTGCATTTTTTTTTCCTCTTTCGCTGTTGCTTTGATTTGAGACGGCTTCTGAAGAAGCAACATGCATACATAATGGACTAACATGGATGTAACTTTTGTTTATAAGAATAAGGTTAAATAGTGGCTATCTTTAGCAATCCTGTAACTGCAATAACCCAAGGTGGTTGGTTTTTTTTCCCTCTCCATCAGCCAGCACTGCAAAATGCTGCTGTTGCTCAGTTAACTCACTGGACCAAAGGCGAACCATACAAGAGAGCGAGAGTTATCGCATATGTCCCCCATTCCAGGCAAGGCAACTGGTCTTACTGTCTAACTTAGGACTGCCTCAAGCCATCAAAATGCCCATAAGACTACAGCCCACCACTACTATGCACTGTAACAGTGCATTCTGACCTATAGGTGATTGTATGTTATTAAATGCATATTTTCTCTTCTGTATAGTGCTGGTTATTTTAAAGGTATAGCCTCAATTAAGAGAGTCATCCAGAGCAAATAAATAAATTACAGCTATGGCTATTTCTGTCTTTTTTTATAACTATGCTTTAGTGAGTGGAATGTGTCTGATCGAAAATAACAATTCACAGTGTGCGGAGTTGTCTATTAATTTAAGTTTTCCTTATTCTAAAATTGAGATTTGAGTGCTTTCATGTGATTCTACTTTGTATCACCAGCCTGGAAGGCTTCATTCTTTGTACTTTCAATTCAATTGGGGGGTTAATGAATGTTATTTGTTCAACTAGAAATGCATTTGCCAGACTGTAGCACAAAGGCTACATTGGATATGTTTTCTTTTTAAAGGACCATTTTCTGCTGTAAACTGCCCCACCACATACACACCCCCCTCGTTCTGTGCTTTAAATTGCTTGTCCTAAACCAAGTGTCATGCCATTGAAACAGAGAAGTGACAGAAACTTTAGGAACTGTTTTTAAATGCCTTTCTATTTCATTTCTTTAGTTGTTTAAATAATGTTATCTAACTTTGAAAGTGCCAATTGTTAAAAAGGCCATTAAGGTGCAGTATAAAAAACTATATAAAATACTGAAAAAAAACTGCAGCCAAACTTTTCACTAACACTGTACTACTATTTAATAATGTTAGTTGTTTAGAATGAGCTTTCAGTTTGTTATATTAAGACTATTTGCAAATGTGGTAAGTAGAAAGCAGCAACTTCTGTGTCTGATGCAAGCATTAGATGTTACTTTATTAAGCTGTGGCTAACGAATGACAGTAGGAAACAGCCAACATTTTGAGTTTCTTTAGCATAAATAAAGAAACATTATTAAAATATATATTTTATATGTTGATGCTAATTCTGTTCTGAAAACGAGCATCATGTAGCAACATCACTGGTTTTGTAGTTCATCTTTCAGCATTGCTTACAGTGTAAGACAACCCCATTTCTTATCACAGAAAGGCCATTTTGGGGAAGGATGCAAGTTCCTAAAAAAGAGCATGCAAAACTTGCCAAGCCTGTAACATTTTTAATTTTCATACATAGGACGTACAAGGATTATTTGGTAATTTCAATTGATTACAATGTACAGTATTTAATATAGGCCTATTTTGTTGTATGTGTTGTGTATTATACAAACTGAAGAAACTGGGGCCTCTGTTACAAGTGGCAAAGCTTTCTGTGTATAATTTGTCTAATAAACTTGTTTTCTAAAAACTGTTTTTTGCTGTGTTGTCCTTGGAAGTTGTGTGACTGAATCCACAGGTGTCAAACGGAAATGTGACCATGCTGGGAATACTTGGGGCCTCTGTCAGGGGAGAAAAAACAGCTGTCAATGGCCATAGCAATGTAAGGGGAACTCTGATTTATCAGTGAAACATTTACCATGTGAGACAAGTTCACAAGCAACTCCACAATGAATATCAATGGTGCCGCTGCAGCTGTAGTTTTGAAAAATAGGGCCACCACAGATCTTGTACCCCTCTGTCGTTACTGAAAATAAGGGCCTCCAGTACATAAATATAACAACACTGCACCCTCTACACTGCCCTTCCAGAGTCATCTCTTCATTCCAGTGTCCATCTATCTCTGTCCCATTCTCTTGTGTGTCCTTTTGGACTGGGCTGCTTGCTGAATGGTTTACTTTGCTGCTGTGTCTGCGAATGGCAAGGGTGGACCCCAATTCTGCTCCACTGGGGTTTGATCTGAGAACTGCAACTCACTGTAAAAGTACTGTGTGATTGGTTAGTTTGCCTCTGGTACTTGCACGAATGTGGAAATGTCAACAAAAGGAAGCCTGATAAAAGGTAATTGTGTCCAGAAAATAACTATTTCTTTCCTCTTTCTGGCTTGTACATCTAATCTTTTGCTTTGCTTCTGCTGGGTATGCTGCAACATTGTTTTTCTTTGTAAATGGGTAATAGCTAATGTTTTTTTTTATTTTTCTAATAAAAAGAGTACTGTGTTTGTCAACAGGAAAGCCTTACATCTTTTTAGAAGACTTCATATGTATTATAAAGAAACATTAAAAATTAAAGCAGACCATTTAGCCCACCTATATCATTTGGTAGCTTGAGATGAAGAGGATCTGAGAGCCTAGGCATTACTTGAAAGAAATTAGGGAATCGGCTTCAAAAATGCTCCAGACCATCACAATGTTCTGTGTAAAGAAATGTCTCGTGTTCTTGGTATGATAACCATTTCCCCGTAGTTTACACTTGTATCCTCTGGTCCATGTTTCATTTATGATTCTGAAAAACAATTCAGTGGCTTAACCTTGTCAATGCCCTTGAGGATTTTGAATACTTGAGTCAGGTCTCCTTGTAGTTTTCTCTATTAAATACAAAGTAGATGTATTATTTTAGTCTATCTGATACCTCTTGTCTGAATTGATTTTAGAGCCCCTATACCTTTTTTGGAAGTGTCCAATATTCACAATGTGTACAGAACTTATAAAATGAGGTCTTACGAGTGCACTGTACAGTTTTATTATTTTATATTTATGTCCCTTGATTTAAATTTTACATTTACATCCTAACTCTCTGTTTGCCTTTTTTATGGATTCTCTTCCTTATTTAGAATGTGAAAATTCTATCAATGTAAACACCCCTTTTTCTTAAGGAGCTTCTTCAGGCTCAGTGTTGCCCATCTTTCATCTATCCTTTTTTGTTGCTACTCACATGTAACACTCTGCACTTGTCTGCATTCAATTTCATCAGCCAGGTGTTTGCCCAGTCTCGAATTAAGCCCAAATCCTTCTAAATTTATTCTGCGGGCATCTACAGTGTTTACCAAGCTTCTTATTCTGGTATCATGTGCGAACTTAACCAGTATCTGCACCAGAATTTTGGTCATTGTTGTAAATTAGGGGGAGCAGTCTTGCTAATATAGCACCACTCCTAATACAATTTCCTAATACAATACTGCAGTATAATACTCCAACTTGAGCATTCACCCCTTGTTTATATTCTGTATACACTGAAGTGCATGTGTACTGGCTGCACTTTGAAAATGAATCTTTTACATGGAACCTCATCAAAAACCTTCCAACGGATTACTTTAAAAGACCCATCTTTTCTTCATTCTCTTTATATGTAATACAAGCTCAGGTATAAAATGACTATTCATCCTTGACCCACTGTAAATATGAGAATAATAACCTTTCAGACTCAGGAGCATAATTCTGTCAATGAGGACGATACTTTCTCAGAGTCAACAAAACGCGGTTTTATGAAAGTGTCGTGGTGGATCGAAATTTACCATTCTCACGGTAGAGTATTTGAATAGGAAACCGCATCACTTTATTTGCTAAATCCACTGTAGCCTTCATCCAAAATGTTGGATATTATTTGCCAGTGACAGTGAATGCACTGTCACAATTATAAATCAATGTCGCGTGACAAACCTAAATAAAATCGGTGACAAAACAGTACTGTGAAAATCACATGGAGTATCGTCGGTTACAAGAATTATAACATTTGTATGAAATTAATGGTAGCAACGTTATTTTAAGTATCCACAAGAGGGCGTAGTTTATCAACTGGTATCTTAGATGAATACATCAATAATTGCTCTATTTTTCTAAAAGTATCTAATGGCCTTTTCAAATACCAAAACCAATACCTAAATCATCTGAGGAAAACAACCTGTATCTTAAATAAAGTCACTTGTAGTCAGTTATTTTAAACTCTGCTCTTGTAGTGCACCAGTGTGATGCGTTTCTAACCGGTGGTTAATGATCTCGTGAATCCTGAAAGTGCAGACAATACTTGACGAGCTTCGTCGCTTGCCTGGAGTGAAAATCGGATGAATATCTATCAGACATGATATGTCAGATATGGGTTCCTCTGGAATAACAACATAAACAAATCTTGGAAGTGTTGTTAGTTTCTTTTGCACTTTTACTGTGGCGTCGTTAAGGACAGCACAATCCAGCCACATACCCGAAGGACGCGCACAGCTTTTTTTCGGTTATGAACCTTTTATGCTTTTGTGTTTTAACAACTGAAGTAACGATTTCACACACCCGAAGACTTAACGTTTAAAGACCTTCTGCCATGATTGACAAGTCAACGGCAGATTTACACAACTGGGGCTCGGATATCAAGGAAACGTTCTTACTCCGAGAACTGCGGTTAAAGTACAGGTTCTTGAGCTCTAGCAGCACTTCAATGCGCGACTGTGAGCGTGTTCATTAGTAGAAAGCAGGAAACAAGACGTTTGACAACCCCTTAATCTAATAACATAGCGCTGTTATTAGGCCTACAAAAACACTACACAGCACAATACAACAACATGCATCTCTTTTATTAGCATTGGTGCAAATGACATTACAGCAACACAATTTCTCGACACAAACTAGTTTCACCCAAAGGCCGTAAGCATAACTCCGGGTAGAGAGACGTCAGGTGAAAATGTTTGAAGACACGTTGAAACATTTAAGAGCCGATTAAGGGCTTTCTTTACCAGCCGTTCGGTAGCAATGATCCAGTAACGTTCAAGTGTATTTGTGTTTTGCTACGTGTTATTGTCCCCAACGTGTTATGCACTGCTAACGAAGTAGATGCGGCGATGTTACGTAGTCCCATTCAAGCAAAGCAAGACTGGACTTCCACAGTTAAAGAATGACGCTTCAGTTATGGTTTTAAGTATGTAAGTAAAAGTAACACTGCTTTTAGTTAGACATTCGTGGATAACAAATCCGACGATAAATTTGCAATAAATGCAATTAGGACATTTATACTGTATATTCCAGTGACGTCCAGCAGCATACTGTTGTGTAAGGCTAAAATTAGAAATAGATGCGGGCTAAATATCTTCGCAGATTTGTCCTAGAAGTACACCGGCATGTTTAGAATAGCTTTTGATTGAGTGATTGTAATGGCATCTACGGGATTCCTATTGTATTCGGTAGTTTTCCCAGACTTTAAAAACTGAAATGTCATCATGAAAATCGTGAAAATCGTGAAGAAATATATATACTGTAGCATTCCGCAGGTGTCGGCAGAGATTTCCTCAATGAAGCCGGCAACCTTCTTAATACCCAGTCTCAGCTTGGAAACGTTTGACGAATATACACTAAAGGCAATTTAAGTACAGGGTATAGGAATGTTCAAGACTAGTATTACCTCTTTGTTACACGGGGTGGCGCATTGTAATACAAGTAAGAGCATGATGCTTATCTCAATGTTGATACAGTATTTGTTTTAAAGCGACACGAAGCCAGTATTTTGACTTGTGAAATTACCACTTACAAGAAGGTGAACGTCTATGTTTTATCAATGGACTATATGTAATTCCCCAGTTTCAAAGTGTTGTAATTAAACGCTGTCATACTTAATCATGCCTTTAATTAAGCAACGGATTCGCATTTCATTAATTAAAATATATCTAGAAAATTAATGTAACGAAAATGTATATATCAAAAAACGGTTTTATATTTAACTTTGAATATTGTCAATTTTGAATATTGTCAAAATTCAAAACATAGCAAAGTAATGTCAATTCAAAAACATTTTGCCCTTCAGTCATATTGCTACGTTGCCAGTGTTTGCAGTTTAGAAAATTAACTAAGGACAGAATGTAATCATTCTTATGTAATCCATTAATATTACACTGTTTTAAATGTCCGATATGCAGTTCTTGTTTTCACAGTAAGAATGATTAAAGCAACTAATATGGATGTATTATGCATGCAATAAACATATTTATGTGATTTCTCATACATAGGACAGCAGCGGGTAGGAATTATTATTACTATTATTGGTTTTGCTGTTGTTGTTGTTGTTGTTGTTGTTGTTGTTGTTGTTGTTGTTGAAAGACATCTACCTTTAACTTGATTTTTGAAATATACTCAAGTCCAGTTACTGGGAGCGTGGGTTCGAGTCTGTATTCTTTCTACTCTGGTGCAAGTGCCTGATGGACGTATTGTTTAGATAAAAAATATATATTTTATTTAATTAATGAACGTTGAATTAGTACATATAATACGATAATGCGCTATTGTTTTAATTGTTGGAGTTTTCTAAGTATGAATCTCAGCGAGGCTTACCTGTTGTCAATGTACATTAAGAAGAAGAACGATCTTACAGCATAACTTTCACATAACATAATCCTGTTCAGTGTGGAACTGTACGTGTTTGGAAATTATTAATGTTATTGTTAATCATTGTTTTTAAGAAGTGTGAATAACATCTTATTTGACACTAGGAGAATGTGTAGTATTTTCCAAAAATAATTATTTTGTTTCTTTAGTTGCAATGGGGTTGTCGTATATTTCGAAAAGCTGGTGAAACACGTTCAGTATAAAACACGACACAGTCAGCCTGTCAGGCAACATGTGGTCAACCTGTCTATTATCATCGTTTAAGCAAAATTAATTCAAACGATTTCTACATGCATGATGGCTCAAAGTTGCGCATTTATTTAAAATGCATTTAATCGTTTTAAACAGAGTGCTTTATTGTAAATTTAATAAAACATGTAAAATAGTAAAATTACGCAATGGTACTTACTCCCGCGGGTAGGTAACGGTCTTTAAAATGAATCCTGGTAAATATTAATCCTCCACTTGAGACAAAACCTTAGAATTATTTTTTGCGACTTGTTAGCCGGTGCCATCTCGCAGCAAATCCCTAACACACTTAAAACTTTTTCGCTACACTATTATTTGTTCTCTCGTATGTGTGCTGAAAGGGAAAGTCTTGCAGAAAACAACTCTTCATTATTTAACTACTGGTTTTGAATTACAGCCAGTGCCCGTGTTACGTTCCCAGAGAACAACTCCGCTGGACCAAGCAAAATGACAACGAGGAGCTAAACCTTTTATTTTTTGTTTTTGTGTGGGGTTTTTTTAGGGGGGGGGTTGGCACCAAAATTAACTCAGCTAGTCCCGTCCCTCCCTTCGTTTAATTTTAAATAAACAGCTATTTTTACTGGTTTATATTTATGCTGAGCACTAAAGGGTAGTAACAATTAACCCTCACCTAGCACTCACACTGCCTTCTCTTTGGAAACGACGTTCCAACTAAGATAACCGTTTCCATGGAGACAAGAATGGGGTTTTCTGGAATGCAGACTGAATCATGTTGGAAGCCAACATCGTGTCACACTTTGCTTAGAATTTCCAAAGAGTATCCCATGCTTAACGAATGGGACACAGACTGCTATTGTGCAAGGGGACACTTTAATAATAAACACCTACAATATTCAACCTGCTGTTTGCTTAGGGATATTCTTGAGACAGGCAAGCCAACCGGACGGCCATTAGGGACGCGAATCCCATGGGGAGACGAACATAGGCGCCAGCCGAAAGAGCCTACCGATTTATGCATTAATAACGAAAAAGCAAAAAGATTAATGTTCTAGCGTTGTTATCCTCGTTTTTCAAATGCGCGTCAACTTTTTGGAACTTCGACTAGCACTGTTGAAAGTTTAACAGTTTTAAGAATGGGAATATTAAAAAGTGTTTAATAACTGCATGCTTGTCGTTCTTCGGTGTTTTTCTTTTTTTTGAGGGGGTGTATTAGCATGTTTGCAGGTTTGCAGGTTTTTAGCATGAAGACAGACGGCTATGCTTTATTTCTTTGGTGTTAAAATCCTAGAGATACTGGGAATAAGAACGTTTTAGAGATCGGCTTCTCAATCGTCGCGATCTAGGGAGGACGTTCAGTTTTACACATTATCTAAAATAATTGGTTTAATCGAGCAATTAAACTCGGAGTTGGAACACAAAATAAACTTAAGAGTAGGAGGACTGAATCCGATTTTTTTAAAATATTAAACTTAACCGAAAGACTCCGGACTCCAGTTTAAAGAAGGTGGATATGCTGTATTGTCTGTTGAACATCAGTCAGCAAGGAAGATTCACGGAATTAGTCATTTGGGTTTTTTTTACGGACATTGATCAGTTCTTTGCCGAATTAAAGCATTGTACTTTTAATCCGTGACATTATTATGACATTCGTGATCTTCGAAAACTGTAGAATTAAACTGTAATATTTTTAGTAAAAAAATACTATTTTTATTTATTATGCAATTTATTTTTTATTAATTTATGCAATTAATTTGAGATGAGAATCATAAAAAACAAATAGCTATTAAAATGTAAGCGTGTAGTATTGACACAAAACAGCGGGAGTAAAAGGACTACTATATAAAATTCAATCCTGTCAGTGTTCGGCCAGGTAAAAGGTAAACTCGCAGGATTGAGGTGCCGCGCTAATCGGGACAGGTGGTGTAAAACAAGCAGAGAGGGTACCGCAAAAAAGGGGAGGAGAACTGAAAACCCTTCCGCCTGCATGTTCATAGGATATCGAGATAATATGCTGAAGTCTGACAGAACAATTAGCTTCCATTCATTAGCCTATTTTTTCCTACTAAACAATATTATTATTATTATTATTATTATTATTATTATTATTATTATTATTGTTGTTGTTATTTTTATTGTTGTTGTTGTTGTTCTAAACATAATAATGCGAAGCTTATATGTGCAGATGCACGAATCTAACCGTTTATTTCACTTCACGAATAACCAATATATGATGACCTTTCCCACAAAAATAAAACTTCCTTTGATCTGGGAACAAAAAGTCGGCGAAAGAAATTAAACTATAATCGCCTTGATACCTGGGTCAAGTTATAAACCCAAGTACAAGAATTAAAAAAAAAACAACTACAATATAAGCTTTATTATATCCGTAGTAAGAAAAATAAGTCTTGGGCAAGTTGGAGACTTGCTAAATTTCTCCCAGTCTCTGAGCCCGGGCGAGTTCCCCACCTCTGCGCCGCACCTCTGACGCGGCCCGTGACAGTAAAATGCTTTATGATCTTGTTTCCGTCTCCTGTGAAGTACTCTTACAAACAGGGCGTTCCTTAAGTTGGATCAAAAGGTCTGAATTTGTACAAAGGCAAATGAAACTCAAGCAGCCTTGAACATTCGGAAAGAAAAGGGAGCATTGAATACCAAATGAGCAGGATAAACCCCAGGAGGCGAGATTTCCATTCAGCTTTTTATGGAATTCAGAAAGAGAAGGTTCTAATAGACACACTACAAAGGAAGTGTGGAAATTGTATTTATTCTTCATCGTTTTTATTCCTTGCATTTCCTATCCATAAGCGCACAAAAAACTACTGAATGAATGCAGTTGGTTAACTGTTCAGTAAAATATTTTCGTAGCACTGGTGTTTTCTCGTAAGAAGTGTTCGTGCATGCTACTAACCCACTCAATATAGCAACAATGGTGATAACAATAATAGCACAATAATGTCAGTTGAGATCTCTGAACATAAAAGAGTTAATTGTAAAAAAAGACACAACCTGCCTCCCAGTTTCTTAAATTAGTAATAACAGCGGCTCCGACTTTACAGCTAATGAATGCAATCAAGGAAAACCGCAGGCCGTTTGTAATTTTAAATAACTGGACAGTGTTGTAACCTGATCGTCGAGCTGCTATATTTCAAAATGCATAAACTAAATCAAAATATATCATATAAAAAATTGTGTGTCTATCACATAACAGTGTGATATGTGATAGACCAAAATATAAAGTCCCGAAATTATGTAATTCTAAAGTCTGAAGACTGGGGTTTGAAGAAAGTATCAATCCAACCAAAAGGTTACTAAGAAAGCGAAAACTGTTGCTCGCTGAAGCAAACTTTCGAACATTTCGATATTCGTCCGACTTCCCTGCCGGGTATTCAGTTTTACATAGCTTTGATTTTACTGAGCTTCATCATCAATAGCTCAGGTCATAGTCGGGTATTTTAAATATTCAGTTTGCTTGGGTAACAGCGATGTTGATGAACACCAGCACCACGGCACAACCTGTGAGCGTGAAAGAGTGCATTATTAATGTCATGCTAACTACTTAAGTAATGTGCAACTGAGGGAGAAGGGGAGTTCTGTGTGCGCGTGTTTGAACCGCCCTTTAGGTCCGCACCTCCAGACTTAAAGAGAGGGGGAAGAGTTAAACTGTTCATCTGGAATTATGAGTTGGACTACCCAACAAATAAGACAAAGTCTTTCCCGATTTTGTCGACTATATTTATGATGACAAATGATTATTACTATTATTATTATTCCTTTAACGCATCAGATTATTAAAATAGTCACATATCTTCAAATTGTTTTATATCCCGAAATAGCGAATTTAGGACAAAACCTTAATGAACAGCCATACGGCTGTGCCAGAAATGTAATTAAGTCCTATTGTCTAAAGTATACCCAGAGGAAGACCTGTGAAATGAAAAGGCGTTCATATTGAGTCTATATATTGCCCGCCGGTTCGCTTCATCCGATGCAGTAATGCGGCAATATTCGGTATTTTGGAGAAAAGGCCGAGAAACCTTGTTGGGGATTCTTACAGAGGAAATAAAGTAGCCCAAAGCCTAACTGAAACGTGTCAAAGTTTTCCGTGTACACAGAGATTGAGGTGCTTGACAGAGATTACAAAACTGCGGAGTACGGTTAGTTTGTTGAAATTCCGCGGAATGATTTTCGGGAGTGCTGACAAAATGATGTCGTTGAAAAGCTTTTTTTTAACTGGCAATGATCTCTGAACTACCTTTGCAAAAACCCCTTTCTTTCTCCAAATGTCAAGTTCGGTGCGGGCTGTCGAAAGCTGTGCAGGTACCAGCTCCTGCTAGTTCACCGTGTTGCTCTTTTCTTACTTGTCAGCAGCCTCTCTTCCGAGAAGATTGCTGCGCCTCACCAAGTGGTAGTTAGTAAATGTCATGGAGTTAACTCACTGTAAAAGACAAGATGTTGTCTTCAAATTTGACGTCATGCATGGTCGCGGCACCCGTGTCCTATGTTCATGATACCCCGGTTGACATTATCGGTCTGCACAAAGCGAACGTGGCACAGGTGCTCCTTCAGCAAACCTGCCCTCGGTCCTTTTCAGTAGAATATGTCCTACGGGATATCCCATTGTGAAAATAACACCCCTTGTTAAACAGCCTTAACAGTCGCATTATCATAATCAAGTTCAATATAATTAGTTTTACTTCACTCCGGCTTCTTATTGGCTGCTTGCACGCGCCTGCCCGCATGCTCCCATTGGTTAAACTGACACGCGACCAGCGCGAGAAGGGTGGGGGGTCCAGGCGCGTGCCGCTTTTTAAAGGGGCGCTGCGCCTCGAGACACCAGAGAAGCGGTCTTGCACGCGACCCAGTGCAGGGGTGAAAGTCCTACGGTGGGCGAAATACAGTGCTAACATATTTTTGATAAGAGTACTTTTTGATTTGTAAACTTTTTTTAAAAAAACAAAACGACTCACCAACTATTGCAATGGCTCGGATGAACGTCGAGGAATGGGGCGAAACGAAAGAGATCAGTGGAGAGGGGCATCCATCCAACTTAGTGAGGGGGGAGCATGGAGGTTATCCACAAGGTATGGCACTTTTGGATAGCAGCGATCCACGCGTCTGGCTGGCTCCTGCGCTGCAAGGCACCTGTGCGGCACACGCCGACTACCTTTTGCATTCACCGGGGTCTTCTGTGGAGAGCCTGCAGCAGGACTCGGAGCGCAGCGGCGGATGCAGGAAAGGCACCAAGAGTCCGGTGAAAGTGAGAGAGCTCTGTAAACTGAAGGGGGTCGGGGTGGAGGAGGGCGGGTGTCGGCAGAGAGCCCCGTCCAGCAAAGCCACCAGCGGAGTGCAGAAGCAGCGCCGGATAGCGGCCAATGCCCGGGAGAGGAGGAGAATGCACGGTCTCAACCACGCTTTCGACGAGCTCCGGAGCGTCATCCCGGCTTTCGACAACGACAAGAAACTTTCCAAATACGAGACGCTGCAGATGGCGCAGATCTACATCAACGCCCTGTCGGATCTCCTGCAGGGCCCGGCAGCGGATCAGCCAAAAAGTGAGCACAGGTCGGCGTACGAGGCAGCCAGTCCCCGCGGGGCTCCCGCTGCTTGCCGCAGGTTCGCCTCGGCAGGTTACCCGGTGCCGCTGGACGCCATGCAGTTTCCCTACGAGGACGGGGCTTTCTCGGCGATGACGGGCCATGAGGCGCTGTCCCCTTCCAGCACCGTGAAGTCGGGTTCGGACGAGAGCAAGGCCTCCCCAAGGTCCAATAGGAGTGACGGCGAATTTTCCCCGCACTCCCACTTCAGTGACTCGGACGAGCCGCATCTGGAGTTACAAAGCGAAGACGAACTCTCCCGAACCACCACACGTTTCGAACCGTTTTAGGAACCACACGTGTCCACCATTCTGGAGCGAGAATTTCCCATATATATATATATTTTTAAAATACGTTGCATACAAAATAATGTTTATTATTGCAAGCCTGTTGTAAGCACTCTTCCTCAGATATACTGTAGATGTTGCTCTTGAGTTTATCATTCTGCCAATACATTTGAGTTTCGTTCCTGGAGGTATAGAAAATACTGTCCTGCCACATAGATTGTCATTACTGCGCTACTGCCATAGGCTCTCCAATTAATGTACAACATGACTGTCTTCCAAAAATGAGCCTAAACTAAAAAGCCTGTCAATGCATACAATTGTAAATGAATGTCTGCCTTATATTCTGATTGATTCTACAGATTTTTTGTAAGTCCCCGTTTAAATTTTTTGCAACTTGTAAAGTTATTTGCACGCACTTTAAAAAAAGCCACAGGCTTTAGAAACTACAACACTAATGTTATGAAATAATAATAATATCTGCCAATTTGAATATATATCTATTTAACATAGCCATTAGCTTGTGTTTGCTTTTTATATTTGTAAACAAATCGGTTTTATTTTGTTTCGACGGGAGTATGTTTGTTGAATTATTTATTTCTGTTTGCTACTGTCATCCTTTTATAATGAAAATGTACGATCTAGACATTTTACCATGGGTTGTGTACAATTTATCCATTCATTTTTTTAAAAAAAATAAACGAACAAACGAAATTCGTCCACAAGTTCTTCTCTGTTATTCTTGTGCGACTTGCATATAAAAAGTGCTGTCAGAAATTCAAAAAAGGTTTCACGATGGTTTTTCTTATCCTCTTTTATATAAGCAAAGGTTTTAAGTGACTATCTTAAAAAGCTCCTTTAAACCACATCTAGGAACATTTAAAATAATCGGTGACATTAGAGCCGTTCATTTTCAGAATTAGCGGATGCTTGTAGCATTTTATTTAACCCTTTTAGATCCGTGTTTAAAGATTCAGTTCACACAGAATTGTATTATTAATTCAAATGTTGACTTTTATACCAGAGTGATTTGACAGAGTGATTTGTTTTTTTTTTTTGGTTATCATCTCTTTTCAAATGTTTTGCCGGAGGAACAATGCAATGTCCTCGCCGTGGCTATAATCTTTCACAGATCTTCAGATGAAGAAAAAAAAACCATAATAAATCGGAATACTGGATCACGTAGCCTTTTCTCACCAGAGTATGTTAACATTAAAGACGAGGATTTAACTTTACATTTCTACTAGAGTTACTGTCTAGACTCTCCTTGCCTTTCCAATTTAAACACGTTACTTTCACTGAGAATAGGTCCAGTTTCAAAACAGAGTTGGAGAATCCAGTAAGCCGGTGCCCACGGAGTTATGTTGTCAAGCTGAATGCTCTTTGAAGAGCACCTATGTAAAAGATTTGGCGAGCATTATGAATCGCAAAGCGTTTCTATTGAATTCTGCGATGTAGAAGATTATTTAGAAACCGACTAAATATTGTATCGTAATCCGATAATACAGTACAGCTAGATATTTCTCGGAAAAGGGTAAATCAGCACCCGAAAATTAAGTGTATTTTTAGCTATAATAATAATAAAAACACCACCACCACCAATAATAATAATAATAATAATAATAATAATAATAATAATTATTATTATTATTATTATTATTATTATTATTATTCCACAGGTTTTCGTTTTTAGTTTAGAGTCATGAAAAGTAAACGAAAACAGCACACATAAGAAGACGGGGATGAAAAGCAAAGTCTTTAAATAAAACGACCGTTGTTGTGGTTAATGAGATGTTTGTCTGCCGACTGGGGTGATGAGGACGTGGGGCTCGTGATCGGCTGCATAATAAATTCTTCCACTCCGTCAACAATCTGTAAACTATAGCTGCAGGTTTCTATAATCTCATTAATATTTTGGATAGTTTAAAGTTGGCTACTACAGAGAACACATTCTCCATATGCCGCCCTTCTCCCGGAACGCTGGATGGCCCCATTCCTTTCATTACGAGTAATTAGTATCCTGCTTCCAAACTTCGTTCCAGGTATCCAAGACACTGGCGAAGGAATCGACCAGTTTGTCACGCGCAACTGAAACCGAATCAATTTGGCCAAATCTTAATTCCTGAAGGACGGGTCTTGACTCCTACAGTTTATCCTCAAATAGAATTAAAGGTACATTCGGAGAAATGTTGCAATGCATACTTTTTACAAACGAACTAAACTCTTGATGTGTACATTTACATTGACATAATTTTGAGAACTTACTGATGAAACCATTCTACCCTTCGTGTATGATTCTACCGTCACAAACAGTACTATCAATTTTAACATTTGGCAAAACAATAAAAGACGCATATTGGTAAGTTTTGCCAAATGTTTTCAAGCGACTTTTCCGTTTCAGTATCACGGGTGTGAGATGTAGCTACTGCAGGGGTAGGTTAGCACATCACTTTGTTGGAGACCGTTTGTTTTTTTTTTTTTCAACAAAAACTTGTAAAATAGTACTGAGGCGGCGGGCACAACGGGTGGTGGTTAAATGATTGCCGGTTACGAAAGAGAAATGGTAATTTGAGTGTTTATTAATTAGCTACGTGTGACAATAGAAAGTTGGCATTACTGTAGTTCGGGGTGTCGGGTGTCTTTATTGAAGCACGCGCTGTCAGCTGGTGAGCGCGCGGTCCATCCACATCAGATCCCCTAGGACACGGCTGAAAAACACGAAACCCCTCCTCCCACCACCAGCCCGCCAACAACAGGCGCAGGGCCCGGCAGACACCCGCCCTTGCCTGGCCGCACTGCGAAGACGGCGATACAATTACCGCGTGCTTCATCACACACCTGGGCAGCGTAAAATAAGGATGGTGAAATCAGTCCTGAAACAAAATATCGCAGTGGGTGTCATAAAGTCACAAGGCTGATAACTCAGCTCAATCTGCCCAGCAAGAAAATTAACAACACAAGACCCCTGAAGCCAGTCACCTACGTATCGTGAGTGTATTCCATACACAAAGACGTCACCTTCCAGCGTTTATTGGTGTTCCCACCAAATCTGTGCCTTGCTTATGCGGTCTTTTTATATTCGACACTGGCCAATAGTCATTTAGGCTGATTTGCGCCGGTCTAAATTTTATGCAAAATATAACATCATTGGTTCAATTGCAGGAGCACTGACAGGGCCGGGCGAAATTAGTACAGTAGTTAGCTCGTTCCAGTTGGAAGGAACTCAGTACTTCCAGATAGTACCCAGGAGCGCTCTAAAATTAAACTCAAGTTACAGTCAACTTCAGACGATGGCACTTATCCTCTAATGGTGCTCATGATACAGGAACAGAACAGAATTAAAACATCTTAGAGTAAGTCTTTTCCTAGACTAAGCAAGACGGTTAAACGAGACTAATAAAAAAGATAAAAAAAGAAACATATATTCGTTAAAGTTAGGTTGTATTTTTGCCTTTTAAGTGAACGGTAATCAAAATCACAATGCAAAAGTACTGATGTGAAAAGCATTGAACAGAGGTTAATTTTTTAAATAATGTAATAACTTAAAAACGAGAAATATACACCAACGTTGTAAGTGAATTTTAACTAACAAGATACTGGGATAACACCGTATTTTAGTTTCAATGACGTATCTCATTCTTCCTACTCGCGCTGCACACTTGTTGAAGTAGCTCGACCTGATAACGTTTGTATGTTCAAAGCGTCCTTTTTGCTAGTATCGAGCAATGGACTAACCGCCTTGTGAAAATATTGCAGAAGAAAGGTGAACACAATTTTAATAGCGTGAGCATTGATAATGTATTAAACCGTTCTCATTTTAACGTCTACGTACTTCCACTGTTTCATTTGTCTTTGAGCTACTTTGAATGTGGATCACCCCTCTCCAGCAGAGTCGTAAGGAATTAACTGCAGTACGTAGACATAAGATAATATCATCAGAAATGAGCGATTCCATTGTCATTCCTCTACACCCCCATGCCTCAGCGCACCTCTCCAAGGTTGGCTGGTATACAGTGTTTACTAGACAGGTTATAGACACTGTATATGGGTTTATAACAGGCGAAGGGAATTTCCCAGACACTCTGTTTGATCTGTCTCAAAACAGACTGCAGATCTGTTTTGATATTCATTTGCCAGTATGAAAAAGTTGTATTCTCACGTTTTCCATGAACATTTTAGGAACAAATTAACGTTTCAGCTCTGCCCAATCTGTTTGGTGAACGACCTCCGTTCTTTCGCTGGTAGGCGGACGCCGAAGAAAAGGCAATTAAGGCAATTAAGGGCATGCGTACCCTGAAGCTAATTTATTTCATTATTCATTACAATTACTTAAACAACTGGAAAAATAAATACTGCCAAGTATTATACCTGCAGATCAGGCTATTAGTATATCGTAATTAACACATGAATGTTAACTGATTGCTCAATAATTATGCCACTTTAAATTGCAATCTTTAAAATTTGTAAAGTTTCTGCGTGTCCAAGCAAGAAGGTATTTGATTCGAAGGGCTTACTAAACCGTGGTATCAATGAATCCTCAGATCTACAGTTCTCAAATGTGCCGTAGAACAGAACCCAGAAAAGATACAGTTGAAGACAATTACCTTCACGTGTTCGATGCAGTTCGCCTTTTAAGCTATGTTTCCTATATTTGTGCAATCACAGGTAAGTCATTGTAGAACATTTCCTACTGTACATCGTTCCGTGTTTGAATGTTTCAGCCTAAAGTATTGGACAGCTTCAAGAACCATTGTTTAAATGAAATGTGACAAGACGGGTAGCGATAACGAAATTACAGTAAAATCGAACTACATTTTTAAATGAAATTTGATCAGTTTAATTCCTGTGGCATGTTTTCCATTCTGTCTGCTAGGCGTGGTTTTGTTTGTGTGTGACTTGGCGTGGGAATGTGCCACCACTCCCTCGTCCTTCCTTACCGCTCACTCGCGAGCCTTTCATCTTCCAGTATCTTAAAACGGAAAATCGTCTCCGTTACGGTGCGCATACAGCATATGAATAAACGTGCTTGATTATTTTCTTTGTTCAGTATCTCAAAAATGTCAGAAGCCGTAGACGTTTAACTGGCCTTGTATCCTGCCAGCTCACAGGAATTAAAAATCGCTTTGTCGTCTCCCCGTTTTCTCTGTCAGCACGCTTATCCAGGTTTTTTAAATGAAAGAGCCCGATTGTGACTGCATCGACTTTTTCCTGGAGTGCACCTCGGGTAACCGTGACAGAACGAGGAAAATACGAACCCACCGAGTTCCATTTTTTCAGAGAGTACTGTAAATAAAAGGCATTGCGAGTTACGTTACATCTTTTGCATTTAGCATCGGTAAAAATATTTGACAGTTTTCTTATAGGAGTTTAGCAGAACGGAATATTCGAAATCGATTATGAGCTTACTGTATCTGTAGGGTCATTTAACCGCACAACAGCAGCAATAATTGAGTTATTATCATTAATAGCACAGGATTCTATAATTCATGTCAGTGGTTATTATTAATTTATATAAATAATGAGATTAGTAAAGTTAAAAATCTAGAAATAACTGCTCCACTGTACGACTTAATGTCAATTTAGACATGACCAAACAGTTGCTAAATACAGTTACCGTATGTCCCGAAGTGCCGGCTCAAAGACATGCTACCATTCTGTC